TTAATTGTCGCAACATTGATTTCCAATTTTTTGAGGGACGAAATTGGATTGAGTTTCTTGGTTAAAATCAAATTTATGAATAAACAAAACTGAAGTACAATTGTCTAATTGACATCATATGAAAATATAGTTACTACAAATAATATTACCCATTGATCAACGTACATGGGTTTGGGTCTCATCTCTTAATAAGATTAACCTATTAAAATATAATCCCAAGTTTTAATATGATATCAAAGTCCACTAAATTCAAATGAGGAATTCAATCAGATTTAGACTCAAATTCGATCTTTATACATTGGTTATTAGTTTTTTCTTTAATCTATATGGAATATATTCCTTAAAATGCCTCACTAGATAATGACATCTATAATGATAGGAGGAAACAGCTAGGTTAGGGTTTGGTGGAGAGGTTACGGGTTGATTATTATTATTTTTTTTAATCTTATTCTTTCTCTATTTGAATCCATTTACATAAAAAGAAAGAAATTATTACTTTACATACAATCAATTTGAAAAGACTTCTATATGATACAATACAAAAATAGGATATAAGGAGTCAACATCTCAATTAAGATCTAGATGCTTATGTAGGACCTTATTAAACCGCACATATACACACTATTACATTACATTAAAAATCATGACTATCATTACAAAGATTATTTCAATTTGTGAAAAATAATTAAAATCACACATCTTTGAGTCACATCCACCTTTGAGTACAATCGAGAACTCTAATACATGAAATTGATCTCTTGCCTCTAGGGGGCATGATTATAATTTTTCATTGTTGATATGGCCAGAAAATTTTAATTATGGGTTTTTGAGTTCGAAAGAACCGTATGTAAGGTTCACTTGCCACGTTAGAAGTGAAAATTTTTATCTTGTCCACTGAGAATAGAAGATCATGCTTGTTTACACCAATCTTTCATTTGATGCAGCCTTCTAGTTCCACATTCAGATTCCTCTACTCTTAAGAAACGACCAAAATGAAAGTAAACTTTTTTGAATAATAAATTTTACATCACTTTTGATCAAGAAATCTTATACGTATCTCTTGCTAGAAAAGATTTCTAGTTCCTTATTAGGTGCATGTTTGGACAATATCATAATTTTCTTGTAATTTAATTTTACACATGCATATTATAGGACCCACAATTATTATCCAATTATCCATTAAACTTTTTCAACTTATAATTTCTACAATTTCTATTTCTTTTACAAACAAGTATTACTCACTAAACTTACGTTTGTGTCTTTGATTACTTACTGAAATTTCAGATGTCGAGTATTGACTTCTAACTTTATCAAAATATTGACCATTACTTACTAGCATGGTATCCATTACCCAACTCTAATGAAATTAGTGACATGGCAGACGGAATGCAATGTGGCATAATTCACGGCACACCCTTTGTCATGTAAGATAAGACGTCTTGATTGCTCACTGTACTTTGAAAAATGTCTTTGATTACTCACTATGCTTTTAAAGACGTTTTGATTGCTCATTATACTTTTAAAAACTTATTTGATTGCTCATTATACTTTAAGGTGATCTCTTGAAACATTGGCTTCTAACATGGCAAAATTATTTTATTATGAAATTTTACTTGGAACAGTATTTCTAATTGTTTAGGACGAGTCACTTCAATTTCACAATTTTAGTGGTTAAAACTCGATCACATTAAAATATAATGAACAATAAAAGACATATTTTAAAGTATAATCAGCAATTAAAGACGTCTTTGAAAGTATATTGAAGAATCAAATACCTTTTCCAAAATACAGTGAGCAATCAAAGACATATTTTCTTACGTAGCAATTTGATTTGCCATGAGTTATGCTACCTATGCTCTTGTTTGAGCCACATTATTTTTATAAGAATGCATTTTTAATAGTATTTTGATAAAAAATGTGTGGTTAAAAAATAAGGAAAAGTTTTGGATTTGCATATAATATTATTTGATTAAAGAATATGTGATTGAAATGATATCAAATCACTGTTTAAGAATATATATTTATATATTGAAATAATATGAGTCAAACAAGACCTATGTATTTCATTTGTCGTGCCACCAATTTCGTTAGAGTTAAATAACGAATATCATGCTAGTGGTAACGTTCAACATTTTGTTGAATTTTGTAGTAAAAACTCGACAGTTGAAATTTCAATGAGTACTTGAAGACACGAATGTGAGTTCAATAATTATTGATACAATTAGGCCTCTGTTTGATAATCATTATTTCCAAACTTTTTTTATATATACTCATTTTTAACTATGCATTAATACAATAAAGCCCTTGTTTGATTTTAATTGTTTTGAAACTCTTTTTTCTACATGATTATTCTTTACCATATATTTATACAATAAAATATTCTACACACAAGCACAAAAATTTTCATTATTTTTTAGCCACACACATTCTAACAAAAATACTATTTAAAACCTTTAAATTAGAAATAATGGCCATCAAATAAGGACAAAATATTTTGCACGTAAATTAAAAAATTTTCCCCATTTCTAATTATATATTCGTTTAAAAATTAATATTAAAATGTTTTTTCTCAAATAATGGATGTTAAACAGAACTACCAAAAAGGACAAGAACTTTGTCCGCATTGCGAGGTCATTTAAGTCAAATCAGAGTCCTGTAACGTTAATAATGATCTGTAAAAGGGTAAAAAAGACAATTCCCTCAGTGACGCTACCTCGTTCTTTCCGATGTCTTGCCCCTCTCTATTTGCGCACCCGCTATAAAATAACTACCATTTCTTCAATCTTCATATTCTCTTTGTATGAAAAATCACTTTTTTTTAATGAAAAAGCCTGCCATTTGATTGTAAAAAATTCACAGAAAAAGGAAATAATCAGAAATGTGTGGAGGAGCTATAATATCGGATTTGTTGCTGCCGAGCCGAACATCGCGCAAGCTGACTGCTGACTTGCTATGGGGCAGTGGCGGCGGCGGCGCCGCCGATCTGGGCAACGGCAAGAGGAAGATTCCGGGGAGTAACCACTCAAAACTACTGAGATCTAAGCCGGTTGTTCATATTGACGATGATTTCGAGGCTGATTTTCAGGACTTTAAGGATCGCTCCGATGATGAAGTGGTGACCGATGTCAAGCCTTTTGCCTTCTCTGCTTCCAAAAACTCCAACCTTCGGGGTAATTAAATATATTTTTTTTAATCCTTTTTTCCCCTTATTTTATTATTGTTTTCAGGGTTTTTATTTTTTTATTTTTATATAATCGTCTGATGTTTGTTGCTTGATGTAAATAGCTAACGTTTTGATGTTAGAAATGTTGTTTTTGACTCTGATAATTAGCTCTAGTGCTTGATTACGATTTCCTGTTTTAGGATAGATGTTTGGATATTACATAAGTTTTTAGTGAGAGAATATTGATTTTTGTGGTTGTGAATAATATTATTGGGTTGGTTTTGTGTTATTTTTTGGATTAAAAATTGCATTTTGTCGATATTAATGTGGATTTGAGAATGATCTTGAGGAAATATTGGGAATATGTATGGAGTTGCTATTTTGATGAAAGGTTTTTGTTTGGAAAAAAGAAAAAGAAAAAGGGGATTGATATCAGCGTTTCTGATTTATGTTTCTTTTGATACAATCAGATATATCTGGGATTAGATAATCATTTTTATCTAAATTTGCTCATTCTGAAACTAATATTTTTTATCCAGACTAGATCATAAAAATGATCTTTCTGCAAGAGAGAGAAAATTTCCTTGATCTCTCACATAAGTTTGTAATTTTATTTTATTCTTCCTTGAGGTTGGCGTGGGATTCAAAATTGCTCATGTCAAATGCAAGATTCAATTGTCTTGCATCAAAACCTGGTCTTTCAGAATTTCTGTTTCTCTTTGATATTGTAAGGAAAAGAAGTAACTGGATGAATATAAATTTTGAATGTTAATCATGTAAGTTTCAGCAAAACTTGTAATATTCTCTCTCTCAGGTTGATTAGATGTATGGTTCTTACGTTTTCATGACTTTGATAGTACTTCCATGAACATCGAGATTGATTGTATTCGGTTTCTGAATCAGAGTAGAAGCATATTTTGCATCGAGAACAAACATTGTGTCTCTTTGTTTTTTCACTTGTGGGGATAGATGAAGCAATTGGATTATATAAACTGAAATCCCTTTTTTTTTCTTTTTTTTCTTTTTTTCAAATTAAATCTGTGTTTGTAATTTTATGGTATCTTGATCTCTTGCTTCAACTTTGTTTATATTATTCTTTTTGTATCTTCTATTTTTGAAGGATCAAAATCTGTAAAATCTACTGAGAGTGATGAGGATTCTGAAAAGTCATCAAAGCGAAAGAGGAAAAACCAGTACAGAGGGATCCGACAACGTCCATGGGGTAAATGGGCTGCTGAGATCCGAGACCCTAGAAAAGGTGTCCGAGTTTGGCTTGGAACTTTTAACACTGCTGAGGAAGCTGCAAGAGCTTACGATATTGAGGCTCGGAGGATCAGGGGCAACAAAGCTAAGGTAAATTTTCCTGAAGATGCCCCAGTTTCTGCCACAAAACGTGCTGGTAAGGTGAATCCTTGTGAAGCACTTCCTAAGGAAAGTTCAGACTATGTTCAGCAAAGCATGAACCAGAATGATATGACTTTCATGAATGTGCTGGACAATGGCAACTATGATTCATTCAGCTTCCCTGAAGAGAAACCGCCAACAAATAAGTATAGTGATGCTGATTTTTACCCTTCCGAGGGTGTCTTGGGAGTACAATCACTTGCCCCTTCTGATGGTGTTAATATCTACTTCAGCTCTGATCAAGAAAGCAATTCGCTTGAATGCTCGGACTTCGGGTGGGGAGAAAATTGTGCTAAAACTCCAGAAATTTCATCTGTCCTCTCGGCTGTTGTTGAAGACAATCAAACTCAATTTGTGGAGGATGCTAGCCCAGCAAAGAAACTCAAGTCAGATTCTGGAGATCTGGTGCCTGCTGAAAACACCGAAGATCCATCGTTTGAGTCCCAGATGAAGCCCTTTCAGATGCCATATCTGGATGGAAATTGGGAAGCTTCACTCGATGCATTCCTCAATGGAGATGCAATTCAAGATGGTGGGAACGAAATGGATCTTTGGTCATTTGATGATGTTCCAGCCATGCTGGGTGGAGTTTACTGAGCACCATTTCTGGCTATCTGTACATAAATCTTCATGTTAGTGAATTTTGTCTCTTTTTCAGCTCTTAATATCTTTATTTAAATCCAATCTGCACTTCAAAAAGCATAACCGCTTGCTGGTTTTCTCCCTTTTTGTCTTCTTAGGTGCGTTGTTGATGGTCGTCGTGGATGGAAATTCAAGCATGCTTTGGTGCTGTAGAAGACTGGCTAAATAAGCATTACATAGGCAATAGGGATCGAACTATCTTTTGAGACTTTTAATTTGGGATGATTTTAAATTTGTCTGTGTGAATGTTAAAAGACATGTAAACTGATGTTTCTGTTATGCCGGGTTTGTTGGTTGCTACATTATATCTTTCTTCTTGTAGACGTATGCTATTTTTCCTAAAGCATTATGACTTCATTACCAGCGTCTTGTTTTCTGTATACTAAGGTGGGCATAGGATTCGAGACCCTGTTTTCCTTCTCTTTCGGTCGATTTTTGAATCCTAAACTGCTTCTCTTGTGACTATGAAGTTGGGGTAAATCGTGGGTTATGCTTCAACTGGATCACAAGTTCCCTCATTGACTGTACACTTCTGCGCACAAGAGACCCTCCTCCACAGTGGTTGCTCTATACCAAATTTTTGGCCGCAAGTTCCCACCAGGTATCGAACTCTCCACCCTATCGTTGGAAGCAAGCCAATGTTGATTAATCCACCAGTTGAGCTGTGCCCCGGGGGGCTTATTCACGTGGATCCTATCCTCATGTGAGAGGGTGTACACTTTCGGTGCACCAAATTATGTACCGTTAGCTTTATCCAAATTTAAGACGATAGAGAAGTTATGACGATATAAGCATGATTTTGTAGAGAATTTGAAGTAGCACAAACATTTATTTGATGTGCCAAGAATTGATTGGTTCACGAATATTAATTGATGCGCCATATTATTAAGTTAAACATCGATACTTAACCATTTAGTTGGTGTTTAATTATTGATGAAAATTTTATTCTTATATTGGTAAAAAGTTATCTAAGATTTGTAGTTCGTTTATAATGTGTGCATGCGTGTGTATATAGCATATGTTCTTCAATTTTGAATGTTGCATTTTACTAGTTTAAGTAACCGAGGTTAAATTTATTTATTTAGTCTAAGTTTGACAACCATTATTTGGAAATTCTCATTTTTATACACTCATTTTTAATCACATATTTACACAATAAAATATTCTGCATGTAAACTCAAAAAATCACTATTCAAAACATTGTTTTGGCCAAGTAATGCTCATCAAACAAGGACTTGACTAACTAACAATTTATTTCTCTTCTCACAGTATCTCGAGATTTATCATTTTACTAAAAAAAAAAATAATAATAAAATAAAATTGTGAAGATAATCAATGAGTTGAGGATCTCTAATAAATTACATTTTGATTATTATGATGAAAATGACTTTATTATTAGAAGTTAAGGCCTGGTTTTCATTTTTTTTTTTTTTTTTCTTTTCTTTACTTGTTAATGCTGCTAAATTTTGTTCAATTCTTTGAATATGAAATAAAATAATATGATAAACACCTACTAACAGCCTACAAATAAATGTTAATGGAATTTATTTGTAGCTATTAGAGCTAGGGGTGGCAAATGGGCTAAGAAAAGAGCTGAGCTCGAGTACCACCTTAATTAGGGTATTTTTAAGGGACTCTTTAAAAGTAAAATACTTTTTGTTCTAAAGAGTAAACTTTTTAAAATTAGGTTTCGATATACTCTTTATTTTAATTTTTGAAAATAGGATGTAAAAGTATATTTGGAGAGCCAAGCTTACTCTTCATTTATATTTTTATCGTGACTGTATTTAATTAAATTATAAGTTTCAATGTTCCGCTACTTATATTATTCATATTATTGGTGTTTGATTTGAATAGGCCACCTTCATCATATAGGGGCCTACTTCAAAGTAGCGTACGCCCCATACGATATTAACACCATCCCTTGTAACCAATCAAAAGCAAGCACATGTCATCTCTTAGCTAGGGGTGGCAAACAGGCTAAGGGAAGAGCTGAGCTCCAGTACCAGCTTAATTAGGATATTTTTAAGGGACTCTTTAAAAGTGAAATACTCTTTGTTCTAAAGAGTAAACTTTTTAAAATTAGGTTTCGATATACTCTTTATTTTAATTTTTGAAAATAGGATGTAAAAGTATATTTGGAGAGTCAAGCTTACTCTTCATTTATATTTTTATCGTGACTGTATTTAAATTATAAGTTTCAATGTTCCGCTACTTATATTATTCATATTATTGGTGTCTAATTTGAATAGGCCACCTCCATCATATAGGGGCCTACTTCAAAGTAGCGTATGCCTCATACGATATTAGCACCATCCCTTGTAACCAATCAAAAGCAAGCACGTGTCATTCCTGAAGTCGGCATCGCTCATCACCATCAATCAAAAAAGCAATAATTGCCTACGATGCAGAATACGAAACACCTAGGAGTCATGATTGTTCATTGTCACCAAACTTTCGAGCCAATGTGAACTAGGACGATGACACATATTACTAGGTCGAAAATTGTAGTTTGACAATACAAGGACGACTGGCTAAGAAAAGGCCCAATGAAATGGGCTGAACTGATTGAATTATCTGCAAATTTACACCGGAATAACTCATATTGGGGCATTTCAGTGATGTTTGATAGCGGTACTATTGATATTGGTGCAATCTGATCCACTATCAGAGAGCAATCCTAAACCCACTTGCATTCCTATCAATGAAAGATGAGCCTCTATAATTAACATAAGATAATGGAATTTATTAGATGTGTGTCCTTCTCGGTCCTCTCGACTAGGGAAAGACCCTCCCGATACTAAGCAAATTTTCAGCATATATACGAGCTTTTTTCTACAGAAATATTAGAAATCAACTTAACTACTTTGTTTGGATCTCTTTAAGTTGATTTAGAAATACCACGTTAATTTTAGTCATAATACATATTATATTGAATATTTTAGCTATTGAAATTTTTAATGAAAATAGATAAGGCATGAAGTGTCATAGACCCAACTACACCTAGAAGTGTATTAAATAGAACTCAATTAACCAATGAAAAGCAACAAATCACTTATTTATTATTTCTAAACGATTAAGTGTAAAGTCAATTTATACACTAAGTGTCAATCAAGTAATTTAGATCAAAAGCAATAAAGTAGAGAACACCAACTTTGGTAATAAAGGAAAACTTCTTGAAGAACTTTTCACAAGGATCAATAACCTCCAAGCAAACCTTGTCAAAAGATCCACTAGAAAATATAACTTACAGTTGGTCCAAATACTATTAAACCTTAGTAGACTTCGACCAAACAATATGTAAATTATCAAATAACCTCTTCGATTGTGCAACCTGCATTTTCTAGAGTTCAGGACTTCTTTTCTTTCCACATGGATCACCAATAACGAATTTGTTCTGGAACAATTGGAACTCCAAATGTCTCTTCCCAATTTCAAAACCCTGAAGGTTATTGGTGAAAATAAATATTTTTGAAGTTTGATCTTTAAAATCTTTTGCTTTTTATCTTTTGGTTGAAGCAAGATATTTAAGGAATATATATTTGGTCTCTGTAGGATGTTATCTTGACCGAAATAAAAGGCTCAACTAATTGCAGAAGATATTTGGGAATTTTGAAGATTTGATCTTGTGGTTGAATCAAAAGATCTTTAAATGTATAATTGATCTGCAATAATATGTTATATCTTGTATGAAAATATGTTCAACCACACATAGAAATGAAATATGGCTTGGGTATCTATAATACGAATTGTTTGACATTGTTTAGGGATGTAAAACAGGTTATTTTATAAAACATTACTACTCGACCACCTTTACTTGTGGCTAGCAAGCGATAGGCCACCACTCGAGCACCAAGGTTACGCCCAGCGAGTGGCCATCCTTCTGCTTTTCCACTCAAATGAGCAATCGGCATTTAGCAAGCGTTTTTGTGGCAAATTTTTTTCCTTGTTTTGTCTTTGACATTTGACTTTAATTACAACTCAATAACTCATAATTTTGGACACAGAACTATTCAATTACAATTTGGACCTTATAAACTCCCCCTTTGATATTTCGTGACAAAATCATTTATATCACAATTAAAATCAACACAACCTAAAAATATTAACCCAAATACTCAATATCCAAACTTCAACTCAAAATCTTGTCATATCTATTACCTGAAATACATGAAATCAACAATACCACGTGTAAAAGCAAAAGGAAACAACAATTAAATACATAACTAAGTTATATAAACAATGTAAGTAAAATATGTGTAACACCAAAACATGTAATATTACGTGCATCAATAACTTAAAAACTAAAGATGACATGCTGGAATATAATATCACAACAACTAAGTTATATAAACAATGAAAGTAAAATATGTGTAACACCAAAACATGTAATACTATGTTCATCAATAACTTAGAAACTAAACTTGACAAGTTGGAATATAGTAACACAATAGCTGAACTAGCAACACAAAGCATGATATCGATATTGTATAAAATACTTAACATAATATCAATAAGCTTAAATAACACCGCTATTCAAATTTCAATCACAAAAAATTTATGATTGACCTTAAGTCAAAGATAAAAAATAATGTATCAACTTCTCCCAACTCATATACTCAACTCAACTGAAATAAATACTTATCTCTCCTTCCTTTTTGTCACGAATCACAAAGGGAAACAAATAATGTAATCATGAATAACACAGAGAGCAAAAAGTGAAAAAATTATGCATATGGACAAATTATGCAAAATATATGATGCGAGAATTTTTTTTTTTCTTTTTGAGATAACTCTTTTTCACTTGTTTTTAAATATAACATCAAGTAGTGAAGGATCAAATCACATGAACAGTTATTTGCTTCCTTATACAATCATAATTTATAAATAGTAACCTTTTTCCACATAACTCAGTTTAAATCTATATGGAGTAAATTATATATGCAGCCCATGTATGAAAAATACCACTAATCTCTTGTAAACAAGATTCAGGACCTTAAATCAATGAGAAAATGACATGCAAAGAAATCACCGGTGAATGGATATTGTCCTGAAATTATGAACATCAAACACAAACCTTTTAATTAAAGTAGCTCATATTAAAAACTTTGGGTTGAGCTGAGTGTACAGGGTACGGTGCTCGTGCAGAACACACACAACATCGGGTGGGTGGGGTTTTATTAGTTTTTTATACAGGTGGGTCCCATGTGGGACCCATTTGGTATGAGTGAGTGTAGGGGTTCTGTGAACAAAAACCTCTTTACACTCAAAATTATTCAATAACTTTTTTCTTTCTTTCCCTATCTATGAGCATATATAATTTTTTTTTTATCTTATATGTAGATTTTTTTCATTAAACT